GAACTTATGTGACATTTGATATTTAGGTACAACGTAGTGTACAGAAAAAAAAGCACGCAACTAAAAAGACCTTCTTTGTTAGTATTTAACGGATATTCTTATGGGATCGGGACGATAAATATGACCTCAAATACTAACCAGTTAACGCTTCTTAATAGGCTCCAGAATATAGTTACCCGTTGAGAAATAATGTAGGATTTTGGATTCCAAAGTCCTAGAAAGTCAGTAAGAGTATTTAAGGATTAAGGGGACGTATCGTTGTACTCAAAGTAACCGCAATATTTGCGGAACTAACGACTTTTGCTTAACAGGCAATTTTTGTTACCAAATAATCAAACATCTTTCTTTGGACCGAACTGTGAAAACCTCGACGGCCTCGGTGGGGTTCGAAACCCAGGCAGCAAGATGAAGGCTTTAGTACAGCCAACGCTTTAGTGACCTGAGCTACAAGGCCTAACAGGGAGTCGTGAGTTTAATCCCATGTTGCTCAACTCACCCACGCAGTCCCCTGTAACGTATGAGATCCACCAAATGAGATGCAGTAAGCTGACTGTTCGAGCAGGATTTGTTAAGTAGCTTAATTACGTAGGACATCCTTCCTAGGCAGTCAACCTACTGTATCACATATGTATATTCCATACACTGTAGAAGGTTGAGCGGGTGATTTGACCCAAATCTGATTGAACTCACGGCTCCCGGTGGGGCCTTGTGGCTCAGGTAGCCAGTGCATTGGCTGTGTTAAAGCCTCCCCTTCTGACGTTGGTTTACCAAGGTAAACCAAGGTTTTCACAATTCCGTCAAAAACTTATTCAAAATCTTCTGAAACACTTATTTATTCACATATTTATCCAAAAAGCTTATGACTGTCAAATTTAAATAATTTTAGATGTAATAAGATTAAGTCACGGTGTTTTAAGTGCAATTTATTGTTCAGCAAACTAAACGGACCACCCCCAAATCTTTGAGTAAAGTTTATCGGGCATCATTGCTGGATTGCATTTTAAAATTTTTATAAATTCTGTTGTTTCGAATGGAACATCTGGTAATTACTTATATCTTGTCCCAGATAAAAGAGTTGAATATTCATATAGAAAGACAGAATGTAAAGACGCAAACAGTAAAGTTTTGCATTCTCACACAAAAATGGATGAGCATTACTGAAGAAAAACTAATCGTAGTCTAGACGTGAGAGTGCGAGTGCTATAAACCGACTAGAACTCATCAATGCTGGCCTTATATCTAGTCGGTATTTTCAACACCGCCGTTGTTGCTTAGTTAAAACCCTCTGAAAGTTGTCATTCTTAATAAACTGTTTATTTTTGCGCATAATATTATTTCACTTTTTATTCAACTTCTTGTAAGACTTTAAAATTGCTGGACCTGTCGATGTTAAACAACTATGAGAATTGTTTAGTCTTTGGAAATCCTCTGTCTTCTCATCGAGTGTTTTTACTACGATCACCCTGATTATGTTTAGTCTAACGTTAGCTCATGAATTAAAACACATTTAGCAGCGACAACCATCGACGAACCTTGCTTGGTCTGTTGTCCTTCATATCTATTAATTAAAAAGGCCTGATATTTTGTCTTCCGGTTATCTCGAAGACTCCCTTTGACAGTGCCATAACAAGCGTGCTTAAAATTCAATCATTTTTGCTCTTCTTGAACGACTATTCTTACCGGAGTAAGACAAGTTAACAGTACAGGCTATTTGCTTTCCCCGCTCAGGTAATTTTTCTGAGCTTCGTAGTCCAGCGCTAAATTTCAAGAGTTCTTATTTCTGCGTCATAAATTTAACTTTAGTTTTCGCTGGCGAAAATATCATATACAGAGCCACGGGTACTTTTCTCTGTCTGCTGCTCGTAAGCGCATGGTATGCACTCGGCTGAGTCAGACTGAGTGTAGTTTATTTTCAAAAATAAAACCTGACCGAGCACGAATAACCAGCCTTAGAATAGCCGAGAGGAGTTTCTGTATGTGTATTCCAATAGGAAGAACCACATCAGTAGACTCTGCCTTTCGATATATTCTTCATCTAGTCAATCCAAATTAACACCCTGGCACTCCGTTGAAGATGCCATAGCTGAGATATCATGATTTGACTTAAAAAATGTCTTGCCTGCGAAGTTTCTGTCGTATTTACATCTTTAGAATATGATTATTTTCTCAGAAATAATTTTGTTGAGGCGATGGCTTTGCGACGTATGACATATCTTCACTTCTGCTTGTAAACTGAACCAGCAAGTTCCATCATATAGCGACGTCATATGATTGCCACTGTGCACAATCACGATAAAATGGGAAAATTTATAAAAGGTATGACTGACAGCTTAAAAACTCAAACTTGTACAATTGAGAGTTGACTTTCTGAAAGAACACGAAATTTAAGGAGTCTCATTGTCCACATATTTTTATGGTCAGGTGGCTAATGAAATGTTGTATGACAGGGACCTCCTCAGAACGGCAGCTCTGTACATTCTCGGTTCTGAATGAAGTATAGCAGCTGGCTTCGGCGATCTGACTTGCTGTTGCTTGAAAAAATTTTTATGAGATAAGTGAACTTGTCCATTGATATCTGGCGCGTTCGGATGACATTCATATGAGTTTCGGTGTAGTCAGCACCTAGTACCCCTCAATCAAGACGTAAAAAGTCATAAGGAGTATAAAATTGCTGTTCCAAGTCACTGCCCTTCACACTGGAGGAAGGCAAAGAGCTCGGATTAGCGGACACACGGAGAATGTCATACGTTGGGCATAAGACACTGAGAGAGCTGCTGGAGACCTGGACTTTCGTCAGTAACTCCATCAGCGCACACACATATACATAATGTACCGCCATTATCACCCGTTACGCTTGCACTGGCAGATAAAGCGGTCCAGATTTCAGCGATAGATGCAAATATCTGCCCGAAGGCACAGCCAGTCCGTAAAACTGCTAATTTGCTATTTCTATGTCGTTGTATTCGAAAATGTGTTTCTGCCCGGGTTCGTAAATTCGAGCTAATAAGTTTGTATGTTATTACCGACAAAGACAAGGGGAGACTGGTCATCACTAACCGCGAAGTGTGGAACACCCGAGGCTCGAACTTGCGACCTGCTAGTTAGAAATCCACGCTTCTAACCACTGGACCACGAGTCCGTTGGCCTGTCAGTTTCGATCGGAAATATACAATGATAGGGGTGGACACCGATCGTTCTTACGGAACTCACGCGTTCCGTTGTGCCCTACGGGCTCTCTCTCGAGCCCAACCAGCAGCCGCACAGCGGCGCATGATATAGGCAGTGTGTTATTACCGACAGTCCGAAACTTAAAAAAATAAACTCATGAAACTAAGGGTCCTTTCTAACCCCGACCAACTACTGACGCAAAAAGTCTGAAAAGATTATGCAGATTTATATTTGGAGTGGGAAGGGGCAGATTTTAACACAGTGGCTTCTGTTCAGTCAGGATTCTAGTGTGCCACGCTGCAGTTATCCCGTTCGGCATCGTCGGGAGCGGGAGTCTGATGAACACCGTACACTATGCCCCTGTGCACAAAGACTAAGTTCGTGCCAGGCTTGTGTGAGCAGACGGACCAGTAGCGACCGTCAGCCATGAAGACGTTCCAACCAGGGCCGTACACCCGTTCAATGCGCGCTTTGATTTCCTGAAGTTTATCCTGTAAGTTTTGTAGAGAACAAGTAGCAACAAGTTAGTTACGTAACTGTGACTAAACGGTCATAAAAACGGCGTTTTTATCGCCAATAATAGGTCTACGAATTATCAGTTTGCATTTTCACTGCACTGTTTTATGGTTGCTGTCTGTTATCCAAAGAAATTACATCTGCGTTGAATGCATGCAAAATTTGTCTATCTAAGGGCTTTTTTTCAAAATATGTACATGTTGCGGTCAACTAATACTGCTTTGACAAAGAAGGCGAATAATAATGGAAATAAATAAAACGTACTTGCTTCGATTTTCTCTTATTCACACCTTCGAGTACCAAAAGAAGAACGGATTCTCGTTTTTTCGCGGACATGTCTGTTGTCAAAATTTCCACATCGCGAAGAATGGCGGGTCTAAAAAAACGACAGATTAAGGCTCAGTTTCTCAGGTCGATAGCTTAAAAATACTTTTAGTGGGAGTGACTATCACACCATTTCGAAAAACGAGCAAGCTCTCCTTGAATTTGTTTGGCAGCTTACGAGTAAGGCGTTCTGCAATTCATACGCATAGGAAAAACGAGGATGGACAGATGCTCAACCTGTTTTTTGCTAATAATTCAACTTACTTTATCATGCTCAATTACGACAAAATGCTCACTAGGGGGATGTTAGCTTTAACCTCAAACCTAGGCTTCTATACGCGAACAAATAAGGCATTCTACACTTACTGATTTGGCCAACAGTTGAGGCTTGTACAAAGATCCTCTCTTTTTATAAATCCGGTCCTCTTGGGGTCGAACATGGCGCAATAGCTCTAAAAAAGTGGAGCCTTGTTTGAAGCAAAATGATTTACTCAGGTATTTAATAATATCAAGGGCTACCATTTTTAAGAATGAGAGCAAACACCTGTCAGGTTTTCAACAGGTTAAGTTAGATGAAGAATAAGACAATAGCCTCAAAATACTAATATCCTTCCTTCTTTTGAAATGATCTGTGCATTTATATTCTTAAGGTACTTAAGTCTTGATGCGTTAAATTAAATCGTGCTCAAAATTT